TCTGAGTCTGAATGTCAAGAAGTACCTACGTTTCATGAAACTAATTCAGGGAATTTGGCCTAAGCAGTTATGTACCTAATTTTGTACAGGGAGCCAGATAGCAAATGTTGCTACGCCGCAGTCGATCGTGCTCGTGTCAGGAGACATGAAGAGAATTCCAGGGCGACGTCTTGTTCCACTGGTTGTTTTCCCGAGTCGATCAATAACCGATCGCTTTTGGTAGAAGACACAGCCGGTGGCGGACTCATTCCACGCCTCCTGACGCCGCCCAGACCGATTGCGACGATATCAGATGTAACCACATCGGTAGGACTGACGCTGAGCTCACCCAGCACGTTCTCGAATGCTTGTTGTTTCGACGTCTCTGTGCATTTCCTCATGACGTTCTTCACGCTCCTGAAAAGACTTCACAGTCGAGTCAATTACGTAATCTCGTCGCACAATATTTCATTCAGTGAAGTTACGTCAGTCAATACCTGCACAAAGGAGTATTCCTCGAGCTCTTTTGCTGGCGCGAGACATTCTTCGACAACTTTCTCCTCTTTTTCCATGACATCGCGTGAGTCCCGCTCCTGAATCTTAACATATTTGTATGGATTCTTCGAGCTCTTCAAAGACAGCTGCACACTCGCCTACAAGGACGGTTCTTACCATGTGCGAGGCAAGCGGGACCGCAGCTGCAGTAGCGTGCCACTTTGTCCCCTTAAGAGTACACGAAAACGGCCTGGTGAGCGGGGAGGGGATGGGGGAGGTAGTGGAGCATGAGTGCCTTCTCCGTACTCCATTCGCGATATCCTCAAGCTGCAGTTTTCACTCAGTGCCAAAATGCCGCGGCCGACACGCAGTCAGAAGTAGAGAACAACCCAGGTTACAGGGTGCAGACAAGCCTTGCGGTTGGCTTTGGTTATGGTAGGCCTTGCGACAGGGGCGGAGTATGGAGGCAAGTATCTCCACTCTCCAGCCCCCCTTCACATGCACATTTGATAAGAGAAATGGCACGCTACTGCAGCTGACCTCATTTTCCCCTCACATGGCAATGGACCACGATCCGCGAGGTGCCATGTAATAAATTTGTCTGTGAGCAAGGGAGGTCGTTCAGGCCTCGTGGTGAGGCCTTTTTTTTTTTTGAAAAAAAACGGTTTGTTGCATGTTGTAGGGGTCCATGCGAGGACCACAGCGATGGGGTTCATTTTTGCTAAACGGTTTTGGGAATGTCAAAAAAGGTCAAAAACAATTCGAAAAGAATGGGCTTTTTAAACCACCTTATTCCCCTCTATTCTAGCTGTAGCGTTGACAGTGTATAGTATGTAGGGTATTCTTTGAGCAGGCATGAAGAACAGCGCAAAATAAAGTCAAAATCCAAATGTCTACTTGGCATGCGGTGAGCTGCATTGGAGTTTTCCGGTCATCTGCGCATCTCTTCAACAGGTCCTGTATCGCTAGTGTCGCAGTGGCAGATGGTGTGGTGGATAGTGCGGCGGGCTCTCGGACGGTGGGTTTGTGGATCGGATCCCCTTGCCGGCACAATTTTTGCATTTTTCACATTTCTTGCTTCTTGTATTCCTGATGCCCCTATAATGTGTATGACCCGGATATACGCCATTTGAAGGCACATTCCATGCGGGAACAAGGTTCACAATAGTCACCACTATGCGCTCGCGATTACTCATCGGAAAAACCTGTTTCATGCAACCTTGGGTTACGGCGGTTATCCGATGCTCTGATTGCATGGCACGGACCACTCATTTTTGAATATGAAACGCAATGGTGTCACAATTTGATGCAAAGGCTTTCTCGTACTACCATCATTGTCAGTCTGCGCGGCGGGGCTATTTAGCGCCGTACTGGCCCCAGATGGCCTCCGCGGCAAAAATAAGTATCTGAACCGTGATCAGGACCATCAATTACCCCTACGTATAGAGTTACGCCGGAAAGATTTTCCCGAGGTTTTTTTGTGTTTATGTTGCCGACCATGTCTCCAGCTGGTGGCTACCAGCCCCCCCTCCCCCAAGGAGTCGTTATCCAACATCGTTAAGAGAGCTTTTCATTTGCTAGTATGCAGACGCAGAATTAAAAACTACACAAAAAAGTGACGCACATACACTGCACTCTCTCATACCTTTGATATGAGAAACAAAAACCTTTCTTCGGGCAAGTGGTAACGAGTTCTTTCTCGAAAGCATAGACGGTAAAAGTGAAGAAAGATCCAGGATGCTCGTTTAGTGGCTCCGAAGCTAGCAAGATGTTCTATGAAGACCTACTGAAGTTGAGGGGCAAGAAATGAAAAATTTCTGGCGGTTCGTCTGCCAGAGGGAATACTTAACGGAGGGTTCGCCTGTCACTGCCATCCAAGGGGTCAGGTCCATGACCACTAAAGAAACTCGAAAAAATTTTTTTCGCTGAAACCTCTCAAACAGGGGTAATCAATGGCCCTGATCACGATTCTGACAATTATTTATGGCGCCGACGTGATCTGGGGCCAGCGTGGCGCTAAAAGGCCACTGCGAGCGCGAAGGGATGCTGCATAAGCCCCTAAAGAAATTGGGCAGTTGCCCTCACTGTATGCCAAGTAAGGCACTTGTATTTCGACCTTATTCAATGTTCTTTTTCATGTCTAGTTGAGAAACACTTTATAAACTCTATGTATTCTGCTTTACAGCTGAAACAGATGCGAATGAGATGATAAAACTTGCGTATTTTAAGCGATTTGTTTTTATTCCTTTTTTTTTTAACATTCCCAATAGCGTTTAGGCAAAAATGAAACCACACCTTTGTGGTCCTTGTATGGACCCCTACAACATGCAACAAATCTTTTTGAAAAAGCTCACCACGGCCTGAACGACTCCCTTGTGAGAGACGGCATTACGGTACACCAGGGTACCCATGTGTGACACTTTCCTTTGCTGCAGCCTAATTCCATTCCTTATTGATAACACGCCTCAAAAGTGAGTCGCCGTGTTGTCCTGCCTACTCATAAAAACACAAGTTTTCGGCAGCAGATGATCTGACCTCAATTAGGCCCAAATCGCTGGAAGTTTGACCTATCAATCAGCTGCGTGGGCGGTTCACGTTCCGGTTATGCGTGGTTCCTTACCGAGACATATTGGTGTGCTGGCTTAAAGGCAGTTGGCACGATGATTTTCTACTTAGCCTAAAATGCTAGTAGGGCGCTGTATAGTGGGGAAATGGCGAAAGAACGGAGTGAAACGGTCAAAATCCGGCGAAGAAAAAGCCTCCTTTTTCAGTGACTTGTAAATCGATTTCGGACGAGTTTTCCGTACGCATCTTGCCAATCACCGCTACCGAAGATATGGAGCTGCGCATATGTGTGATCGCCATACATATGCATGCAGCATCACCGCCGCTTCATACCAATCCCTTTGCTTTATAATTTGCTCAGCAAATGATGAATACGAGCGTCAGAAACGGTCGTCCGTTTGTGGGCGGGCGGGCAAGGAAGGCGTTTGGGACGTAAAGTTGTTGCTCAATAGGGCGTTATAGAGGGTACGCTCGCTTGGAAAAGCTTCAACGGGCAGCGCCTGTCCGCGGTCAGGACGGAATTCTGTTTAAGCCAGTTTGTTACAATTCCTACACGCTGCTATAGAGATTTTATCGGTGCCAGCTGCTTAAGCATAAACCATCCCACCGAATCAACATTCGAATGTTCCTGGAACATCCCCATGCACTGCGATTCGACAGCGCCTGCGTTATGGAAGCACTTGATGTAGAAGCCCTCGGCACTATTTAACCCTTTACCGCCCGCAGTCTTCGCAAAAAAAGGCAGTTTTTGAGCCGATTTTTTTCTGGCGTTGGCAAAAAATTGAACAGGCAACAATTTGGTTTGCTGGGTAATTTTACCCTCTTGAAGCACATGCATCATATCGGCAACGGAAACCTCCTGGCGCACGCTACAGTCGTTGGCGCGAAAATAACCCAGAAATCACCGGCGCCTGGGGCGCGGGCTGCCAGGTCCACCTGTCCGTGGAAGCCAAATCTATCCACGGAGGGAAAAATCGTCAAAAACTGGCTCAGTTCGGGGTTGGGGCAGTGAAAGGTAAATAGTGCCAAGCCCTCTATACAAACCTCATGCGCTGTTGGGAAGCGTCTATGTGTTCTTCATAACTTGGAAACACAAGCGAGGTTAATATTACGGACACTTTTACCAGCCAACTATGGTGCCATGTCTTGGCTGCAACATTTTTAGGTGGGCGGGGAGACAATACGAGTTAATCAGGGGCTTAGCTATGGGGCAAAGGTCAGCGCCTATTGCGGCCATAGCGCGCTACAATTCAAATTAGTACAGCGCCAGCTTAGAACCCTCCCATGCCAATTATTGGCACGTTACCATTTTGGCGATTAGCGTCTACAGGAGGAGGGGGGAGAGTTGAACACGTGCTTCGAGATTCTCGACACGTAATCTGAGCACATCAAGCTGGCCCAGGGAAAACTGTCTGAAAACTGGCTTCCTTTTTCTAGAGCTAGAAATGATGGGCAGGGTAGATGTGGGGTGTTCTCGGGTCTTCATATTACACTACGTCTCTGAAAAAGTCAGCACTTCCATCAGGAAGGGTCTGAGGAGGTCTGGCCTACAAAGCACAGTGCCCATTATAAATGCGCCAGCCAATAGTCTGAAGCGCCGCTCGGTGAGAAATCGGCCATATGACTGTCTACGTACAACCCCAAATCGTGTAGCCTGGCCGCCTGGCAGGGAAGGCGACTGTACCACCTCGGAGCGGTCTACAAGCTCACCTATTGAAGTAGTGGGGATGAATCGGTGAAACATAGCGGCCGATCTGTGCAAGGGTGAATGAGCACCTGAGCAGGGTGGAGGGCAAGAGTAGGTCATGTTTGTTCACTGCCTTAGGGCTCAACAGGGTTCAAAATCATGGCGGGGATGAGTTGGAGTCGAGGTCAGGGTTGCGGAGCAAGAATCAGCCAACAATCGAAAATACTCGAGGCATTTTGGATTGAGGTTAGCAATGGAAAAATGAACTGGAAGGCACCCGAATCTCCGGTGAAGGACGCCAGGAGCTGAGACAAAGGGTGGCTTCAATAGTGACCGCCGATTAATGAAGAGTGGCCGAAGCGGTCTTAGTACCGTTGTGGTGGTGGCTGGTTGCGTGCAGTAGTTTCTGCTCGATATGGGGCTGTGTTGCGGTAGGCCTGCTCTGCGAATGTGGTGTTTGTAATGATCTCAAATTTCAGTCGGGTCAGTGGAGACACGCTAGGCAGTCATGAGTTTGCTTCGAATCGCTTTGCAGTGCTTTAGAAGGCGAAGACGAAACGTAAGCCAGTAAAGGTAGTCTGGCAAAACCGTGTGGAGTTCAAGCGAAGAACCATACAATGCTCACCTTTACAGTGGAACGATATAAGGGAAAGCGCTCACCTTTTCACATTTCTCCACTGTGTAATACACCGGTTCCTTCTCTCGAGGATAAATGTCCTGAAATGCACTCTAATAATCCTATACTTTCAAAAGTAGTGGTAACTAAAATCCATCACTCCGTAAATACTTGCTCTACGCTAGTGCCGGTTCACCCTGTCAAAAGACTGTAGAGCGAGGACTACTTCAAACACCTTATCATCTCAGTCGCACCATCTACTTGTAGGCTAGGCCGCTGACTAGTTCTCCCTCTGGTTTGGGACCGACCAGGGTCCTCTGAATGCAGGGCCACACTAATGATCAACCAAGCAATCGGAAGATTCGCCTCCTTTATCTTCCATGTCAATAGAACTCTCTTGACTAGGGTCCCCCACATACTTTTGGTAAAGTATATTTGCTGCGGCAAGACGGCAGCACCGCGACATCTCCTTGAAGATGTGAGATGGCGTGACTTCACAAATGTTGAATTTGCAACAACGTCTACCATGATCTTGCCTTTTCATGCTCCTCTTCGCTTCACATGCATCTGAGACTACGTCTATCCAACTCAGAATATTGCAGCAGCATCAACGGTGAGCGAGTTGGTCAAAATGGGCGGAGATCTCATACCTTGATGCTGCCTTGGTCGTCCGTTGAACCCGCCTTGACAATAGAGGGACAAGAGGGGACCAAAGCAGGATTAAGGCCTGAGATCCCCGCCCATTTTGACCGATTCGCTTGATGCTGCCGCAATGCTCTGAGAATGTAATAGCCGGCGATAGGAAGCGAGTGCTATGTTCACCAAAAATACAAACTATAGCTCAAACATGACTGTGTTAAAGTCCTTGTAGTCAAAGCTTGCGATAGAAGAAGACAGTTACCAACTAAAGTCGGAGCCTAACATTTCTGTTGAATTTCTGAAGAAAAGTGAAAACTGGTAAACCTTCCCGATCCCACTCTACTTTTAGACTCTCATCAACGAATGACCACCCATTCCTCTCTCTCAACCACCTTCTTTACGGGGAACTTCACGCTAACAAACATTCGAGAGAGGCATCGAACAACTACTATGCATAGGCCATATGTTACAAGAACCAAAGCAGAATAATACGGTTGATTAATAAGCAAAAAATTACGCAGAAAAAATTGCAAAGGTGGTTCATAATTTTTGGACCGACTCAAGGAACGAAACGGCTACGAAGAACTTTTTGTAGAAAGGTCTTCAAAAGTTTATAGGAGGACAACTCCTCATAGAAGGAACAATTTGTGAAATCTACCGTTAAGTGGTCTCTCAGCTGGAGCGGTGATTTCAGGGCAGACGGCTTTTGTCTCGTCTCCTAGGGTAGCTTCGAGCTGACCAAGCCTGATTACTGATAACCAGTATTCCAATCAAAAGATGTGGTCATTCGAAGAGTGGCATTCTGACAACAAATCATGAGCTTCAAGCCACCTTAGCCACTTTTCGTGCACAGTATGTACTGACCATCAATATAAAATAGTGAGAGAACAACTGGTAGTAAAGGTGAGCAGTCTGATCTGGAGGGATGGTTCATATGGCGCACTTACACTGCTTGCATCGACGTATTCTTCCATTCTATACAGGGAGTAGTCGTCGTGGAGGCTATCAGGGGACTGATCGCGGATTTGAACTGGCTCCAGGAGAATAATTTCTTTACGGCCGTCGCGTCGAGGTTGCACCGTCTCGTAAACTACTTCAGCTGATCTGAAAT